CAGCCTCGAGGTAGACAGTAAACAGGACTGGCGATAGAGAATCACCTTGTGGGGTTCCATTATGTGTGACTAATGGTTGGCAGGCAGGCACAGTGGGTTGGTCAAAGACCATGATTGAGATACGAGAGGTACCTGGTTCAAGTCCTGCCTGGGAGCGGTTTTTCCAGCCGTGCTGCTACCCACAGTCAACTGGGAACTTGTGGCCAGGCACAAGGGGTACATGGATGCAGCTAATGGGGTCGCTTTCGGCACTTGTGCCAGTGGTTGTGAGACTTACCCACTCACCCCTACCGTTAGGCGCTGTATCTGCCGCTAGGGTTTATCGGGTGTTAGCGGCCGTCGTGAGTTCCCTTCGGGAACGGATACGATAATTTACTTTACTTAATGGTTGGCTGAGAATGTTATTCAGCTTTACTTTTATTGTGGTGTCTGTCAGAAGGCACCGGATGATGTGCAGCTCATCATGATCAATGACTGATGACAGTATATCGATCAGCCTGACCCTCGATATAGTGTCAAATGCCTTTGACATATGAATGCCTAAGATTGAGATCTCCGACGCAACCCGTTGGCATCTTGCTGATAACCACCGATAGCTATATACCACGTCTCCAGTACTTCTCCCTGACCGGAACCCGCTCTGGTTCAGTGACAAGTACCCGTTGATAGCTGGCTTGATCCGCGTCAGGATGACCAATGAAAGAAGTTTACGTAGGGTGTTCAACAGGGTAACTGGCCTTACATTTCCAGTAGGACCTCTTTTCTTTCCCGGCTTTGGTATCTGGATCAGTAGCCCATCGCCTAGCTTGAGTGATTTGTCTTTGGCATAATTGTTGAATGTAGTGGCAATGTTCGAGAACAGTGCTGGTGTTCCATATTTGATAAGTTCAGCAGGTATCCCATCTGGTCCCGAAGCTCGGCCATTATTCAAGCGCTTAGCTGCGGCATGTACCTCTGTCTGCTTTATAGGGTTTTTAAGGTCTTCCTCTGTCCGAAAGAGCCTAGATGACTCCAGAGCAGGATCACAGAATATAGCACGGAAGTGTTGCCTTAATGCTTCGACTGATTCACTAGGTTGTGCAATGAGTTTGCCATCAGAGTCTTCAACCACAACTGGTGACTGCTGCTGTCGGCGCAGTAGTCGTGTTGCTTTGAACATTTTTGCGTCGTCTTTCATTTGGTCTATTTCAGCTACACGTTCGTCCAGTCCAGTCGATGCTAACTTGAGGCATTCCCGGCGAATTTGGTGTGCCAGCCTGTTGCGTCGTGTTTTCATTTCTTTTACCTTCGTTCCATCTCTGCAAACCGTAATGTCGAGACGCAGTTTTCGTTTCTCTGCTGCTAGCTTTTCAATTTCCCCGCTGAAGCCATTTCTATGCGTCTTGTTTGTTTTAGGGACACTGCCCACCGATGTGTTTGCTGCCTCACTCATAGCGTTCACAATATACTGCAGATGTTGCTCCGCACTGACACCTTCCTGCTCTCTGCCGAGGTCCTGTAGATGTTCGTTGATAGCCTCTCTGTACTTTGCTTTCCTGGTCGGGTCACTGAATTCCGATATATTGAATTTTGCATTGCTGGATATGGCTACTGGGGGCCTCTTGAGCTTATTGTACAACTTTGTCAGGTTGAGGTTTGCCAGCACAAGACGGTGATCGCTTTCTAAGCTTGTCCCGGCGTATGATCTGGCATCCGTCACCACAAGCCTTTCACTGTGACGGCAAAGGATATAATCTATTTGGTTGTAAATGGGTAAATGTGGACCTCCACTAGGGTTGTGGCGCCAGCCTGTCCATGTGGTGATATGTTCTGCACGGTGCTGAAACGCCGTGTTACAGGCAAATAGGTAATTGCTGGACGCGAAATCAGCCAAAGTCTGGCCGCTGTAGTTGCGATGGCCCCTTGAGTGTGAACCAGCATAGGATATGGAGTGGCAGTCACTGGGTGGTCGTTTCCGAAGTTTTGCGTTGAAGTCTCCCATCAGGAACAGCAGCGATGAAGACCTTAGTTTTTGAATTGTTTCCAGCAAGCTGTTGTAGAACTCGTCTAGGCATGAATGGTCTGCTGCAACGCGTGTTGACGTCGGGGCGTAGACATTCACAAATGAGCACAGCGCTCTCCCGGAGAGCCATAACTGTAGCACGGCGATATGGTCCGACACCTGCCAATATCTATATATAATAATATTCGCGGGATCCGCGTCGGCATCGCTTGAATGTTCAGAAACACACAAACTAGCCTTCGCATCCGCAGGCCACCACTATGCCTATTAACCTTAGTGGCGAATGCAGACCTCACAAGTGAGTCAGGGGAGAGGAGGTTATTCTCTCAACCAATCGGGCGTGTAACGGCCCATAACCCTGTAAACTGCATCCTTGTTATTCTCACTCCGAGCTGTGAGTACCCAGTTGACCGTGGGTGTCGGCGCAGTTCAGCACGCGTAAAAAGTCTTTTTACACGCTCCCTGCTACCAGCGCGGGTCTTGAACTCGGGACCTCATGATTCGCAGGCAGGCCTGCAAACCAATCGGCCATATGCGTTGGTATATCTATATATCCGGTGCAGTAACTGCTTTTCCACCACGAATCCTAATCCAAAACATCATGCAGTCCCGACATTTGAAAGAACATACTGGCATGTGCTTCTTTGACCTGGCGAAAGCCTTTGACACTGTTTGGCATAGAGGCCTGATTGCCAAGTTGGGTGCCTATGGCATTGGTGGCAACCTGCTTTGTTTCTTTGAAAGCTACCTAACTGACAGGTTACAGGCTGTACGCGTCGGCAACACCCTCTCGTCTCCCCAGGGTAATTCTGGTGTGCCACAGGGGTCAATCCTGGGGCCACTATTCTTTTTAGTCTACGTCAATGATCTACCGATGTCTGTCCCTAATGTTTCACTGTTCGCCGATGACACTACAGTTTCCGCTTCAAGTAGTTGCAAGCAATTGCTAGTCAATGACCTCCAGAAAAAGATAAACTCCACCATCTCTTGGATGTCGACTTGGAAGCTGAGACCGAACACTAGTAAGACCAAAGTGATGTTCTTCTGTAGCGGTGCTAGTGATCAGTTCTGTAATGTGTCTTTATCATGTCCTGGCAGCTCATCGACCATAGAAATTGTCCATGAACATAAGCACCTTGGTATAATTATTGACGACTGTCTAACATGGGCTCCTCATGTAGACTATATTTGCAAGAAAACTAGTAGTGTTCTCGGTATACTATATCCTCATCGTTCTCATTTGCCACATACATGCCGTTCTATGTTTTATCGCTCGTATCTATTACCTGTTTTTCCAGTATGCATGTCAGTCTTGGTGTAGTCTAAGTCAACATCTTGTGAACAAACTTGAAATCCAACATAAATCTCTTCTTAAAATATTTTTTAACAAGCAGCGTTTATTTCCTAGTCTTGAGCTCTATTGTATCAGCAATACCCAGCCACTGCAAGATAATCGCAAACAGCAGCTTTGCGTTTTGATCCACAGAATTCGCCTAGGTAAAATTCCCATTCATCTCTCCGTATTCAATTGGTTTTCTCTGTCCCGGTCCACTCGTAATAGTCTCTCACTTCCCCGTGCTAATTCAGCCGCATTTACCAACTCTCCTCTGTTTTTGTCCTACAGCCTTTGGCTGCAACTTCCCCAGCATGTTAAGACATCAACATGTCTTTCCAGCTTTAAAAATGCACTCCGATCGCATAATGTAGTACGATAGAATCTCATTGCTGGATTCTTGTCTATCCTTCTTTCTTCTCTTTTTCTATATTCCTTTCTTTTCTTTTCTTGCCGTGGTTGGCTATCACCCCTCTCTCGCACTTTGCGTGCCAATTGGTCATGAACCACGAGTTGAGTGAAATAAATAAAAATAAATAAATAAATCCGAGTCCATAATGTCGACACGACGACGAGAGACACAGTAGACGGTAGTTGTCAATATTTCCATCGTAGCCTTCGGAGATTTTAGTCTCCTGAAGACAGCAGAGTCCAACTCTGTATTAATTGAGGTCTGAAATAAGTTGATTTTTTTTGAAATTTGAAGTAAGTCCACGGACGTTGAACGTACCAATGCGAAACAAGCCCTCGCCTTTCGCTCCACTACTCAAAATACTTCCACAAGCTTGCCTGTTTCCTGGCGAAGAAGACATTACCCATGGGCCAGCGGAAGCTGACGGCCATGACCGAGCAGCGTCACTCGCTCTCCAAACAAGAGGTAACACAGCTAAAAATTACATAAAATGGAGAGTTTGCAAGAATATCACCCGAAACGTTCCTGGGGTCAAAAAGGACCGCAATGTACTGGGAACATGGGAAAAAGTCAACATGGAATGAGGGTTATTCACACCACACATTGTCACAGCAGCAACGAAATGACACAGCATAGTCGATAGTTGACCGTACAGTATAACCCCAGGTGTAGCCTGCACTGGAAGTGATGCTTACATAATACATGTCCAGTGTGACGGGGCTTGTTTTGATATACAGCTATTGTTAGCACGTAGCAATGTGTTTATGTGAACGTCTTGCATCTTAAGTATGCACAGCCTTCCTTGCTTTCTCCTCATTTCATTATGGGAATACCCCAGTTAGTTTCATATGTCACTTTTTATTTGTATGGTGAGTGAAAGAGCACAAAACTCGGAGACACCGCTTATTTCGCGGACTACTTTGTCACTGCTCCAACCTTGATGATAAGCACTCACTCTCTTCGCCACTTTTAGAGACCCTACTTTGCAAGATGAATGCATTGTATCTGAAGTGTCAGATCATTCCCTTCTTTTCTACGCGTTTAAACGCCAGTGCTCACTACAGTAATGTAGGAAATCTTTGAGACTCCTTCCTAAATTATTCAAACTTCCAGGAGAGATTTCTCTGAGAACCTAGAGAAAAATTTAACAGCTCTTTAGTGTATTTAGGCGTAAGAGTTTTTTGGTCAGTTGCAAAGCAGGGCAAAGCAACTTAATAAAAAGATAGAACTCACTGCTGGTTTCGGTTGAGATGTTCATGGTCGTGTTTACAGAACCCACTCCATTTATGTCAGTTATCCATGACGTAACTAAGTATGTGGTGAACTCTTCGAGACCAGAGAAAGTTTGTACTTCTTTATCGCCACAAATACTCTTTGTGTTGAACGCTAATGTCCAATTGCGTCCAATCACGGGTATTGCATTCAGAGAAACACAATATTGCCAAGCCTTCCCACCTTTCAAACCAAAAAATGACATTTTCACTGTGATATTAGTAGTCTTTGACGTAACATTCAGAGTTGGGCTGAGAACTAGAAAAACAAAAGGTATTGGCAATATAAACAGCACGATATTAAGCTCCATACATACCTACATGCATACCGTATTATCTCTATTACAAGCCCAGTCTCTATTATAAGCGCAGGGCTTATATTGGAGAACTGTATGGATCATGGTCATGCATTTCTGATATCACAAAGTGTCACATACCCAAATGCTGATTGCTGTGGAAAAGTTGGTGGTCGCCGAGATCTTAGATTCAGACTCACTAAGTGTACCAGGAAGCACAAAACTGCAGTCCCGGCACCTGCTGGGAAACTTTGTGCTACTGATATAGTGACGGAAATGTCACCGGGAGTATATCCGAAAGCTGCAGGTCCTGATTTTCGATACCAGTAATCACCCTTCATTGCATCAATTCATTCGCATGCAGAGATCTTCGTGAAATAGCCCTGGGATACCTGACCTCGCATCAAATGGAAAGTTGGCAGCAGACCCTGCAGCTAAAGCTGCAGCTTTGAACGAGCAATTTGCATCAGTGGCGGTTGTTGACGACCCACGCATACCATTGCCGTCCTTAGACCAACACCCTTGCCTCCCGAATGCGTTTCGTGCTCCGATAATCAGTCGGGGAGATGTCCTATCTAGGACATCGCACTCTGAATGAGTGTGATTGGTTACCTGTTCCAGAGTTGTCATGGAAGCGTCGGTCGCGCACACGCGATGAAAAGAAGTGCTGCGTGAGCATTTCTGAATGTATGTAGAGGATGCACGATCGTAATGGCGATGGATTTCTTTACGAATTGGTCAAGTTTGAGGGAATAGGCGGAGAATATCAGACATCGGCAGGGGTTGAGGTAGTGTATATTCGATTCGCCATCGAATACCCGACCGAATGGCCGTTTTCGTTTGGGGATTTCATGTGGGGTTTCTCGTTGCCACGCAGCGCTTCTTTGGAAACGATTGGTTCTAATTTTGAATGTTTTGCCTTTGGAATGTTTCTTCACGCCCCGTGCGTTCATTTCGCCCCTAACCTGGCCATGCAGGGGAGGAAGACGAGGCAGCAGGCGCTAGGCAAGTAAATTACTGCCTGGAAGATATTATTTGGCCAAAGCTTGCTGTTGGCGTTTTTGATTTCTTGGATACGACAGCTCTTTGCTGAAACTGGACCTTGGACGGTCTTTCTTGGATATCAACCCAGGACGTGGTGGTCATGGACGTATCGCCATCGCTTTCAGCCAGATCCTTCTGCTGCCTGAAACCAATGGCAAAAGTAAAAACTTTATCGCAGCAGCAGCTACTGCTCTGCTGAAAGTGCGAACACAAATTCCTTCGCCAATCCTTTTGTGCACTTGCAATTTTCAATGCGACCAAAACGATTCGCTTGCCAGTTCCTTTGTCCAGGCGTACTCCACAACGAGGAAAATAAAATTCGTGATGGGAAGAGGCAAGATACGAATCTCGACTCGCTTGAGGCAAGCCGCCAGGAGAACGACAACTAACTACTTTTGAGACGAAAGGCCTTCGTTGCGTTTGTTTTGAGTGCGACTTGTTCATCTTCCTCGGACGCGACACAAAGTTTTGAGTCACGTGTCACAATTACTATAGGAACAGCATAGTATGTATGCTGGGGCATGCTGGGTTCCATGATGTCCTATCTAGGACATCACCAGGACTGATAATAACCACAGCTGGAGTGCGCAAAGCTATTGCGAAGCTTGAGCTTAAAAAATCGCCTGGTATGGACGGCATCTCCAATGAAGTTGTTAAGGCTCTAGCACTATCATTATCATATCCTCTATGTCTTCTATTTAATTTGTCTTTCAAAAAATGTAGGTTTGCAGCGTACGGCAAACCGTAGTTATCGCTGACAACCGAGCAGCAGGCAAAAGCCACGCGCGTGGCTATAGGCGTAGTAGGCGCGCAACAATGGCGGGCAGCCGTACTGGGGAAAGCCCAGGCCGCAGTACGAGTACGCCCATATGCGCGGGCGAGACTACCCCATATTTGCATAAAGGTATCAGCGCTACTAATGCAATGTTCACTACAAGCAGGGCTCATGGCGCCTAATCTCTATATTAGGAAGCAGTTCCTTTCATGGCACGAAAGGACTCCAGCGCGCGTACTAAGCTAAGCCTCAGCCAAGGTACAGTACTAACCGAGTACGCAAGATAGAACAGGCGGTGTGGCGGAGCAAACATACCACATATGGAAGAGGCGAAGTCCCCGGATGCCGCCCGGTCCACAATGACAGACACCACCATGCGTATATGGGAAATAAGGCGCGAGAGCCCACCAGATAAGGCGGGCCGCATAAGCACGTGGCAAGCGCAAATAGCGTAAGACGTACCCACGAGGCCACAACGCGAGAGTACGGCAGCATGAGCAGAGTACGAGAGTACGATGCCGGATCAACGCAGGGCGGACCAAGGTGTGGTAGTGCCACAGCACGAGGCACCTCAGCAGTTGGAGGTGGCGAACGCAGGGACAGCATCAATATTGGCAGCTAGCAGCAGCAGCAGATGGGCGTGATTTTTTTTCTTCTTCAAGACTAGCAACGAGGAGCAGCAGGCAACCCTCGTTTCACTCGTGATTGCTTAATCACATAGCAAAAACAACAAAAATGCAACCCCATTCTATGGTGCTAAGATGTGTGTGTCTCGGGGGAGGGGCGATAAAGGGAAGTTTCCATCGGCATGGAAAGTGGCCAAAATAACGCCGATATTTAAGGGCAAAGGTAGTAAAGCTACTCCTGGAAATTACAGGCCAATCTCTCTCTTATCATGCATTTCAAAATTATGTGAACGAATATTTTATGATCAGTTGTATAGCCATGTTGCCCCTGCCATTCACCCTGCTCAGTCTGGCTTTCGTCGTGGAAACTCGACTTCACTGCAGCTGACTCGCCTTGTACAGGACATTATTGGAGCAAGAGCAGAAAAGTTGTACACGGGCATTTGCTTCTTCGATCTTGCCAAGGCGTTTGACACAGTGTGGCATAGAGGTCTCTTGAGGAAGCTTCAAGTCATCTTTAACATCTCTGATACACCGTTGAAGTGGATAGAGAGCTATCTTTCTGGGAGAAGCCAGTTTGTGTCCGTGTCGGGAGCAGACTCTCCAAAGCTACCCGTGCTGTCGGGGTGCCTCAGGGCTCAATTCTTGGACCATTGCTTTTTGTTTTGTATGTTAATGATCTACCAAGTCATGTTTCTGGAATGTTATTGTTTGCTGACGATACAGCTGCTTTGCGCCACTGTAAAACTGTCAAACAGCTTGAGTCAGAGTTGCAAGACGCGATAAATATGATTGTCACCTGGATGTCCAGTTGGAGGCTTCAGGCAAACGTTTCAAAAACCAGCGTACTGTTTCTAACAGATTCTGCCTCAATGTTTAAGTTCACCTTTCCCAATTCACCCACAGAAATTCAGACGGTAAAGGAGCACAAACACCTAGGGGTAATGTTCGATTCTTCCATATCCTGGTCGGCTCATGTAGATTACATTAATTTTGTAATAAAGTCAGCCGTGCTCTTGACTATATTAAAAGTCATTGTAAACATCTCTCTATTCCGTGCCGTTCAGCTATATATAAAATGTATCTCCTTCCATTGTTTGAATATGCTGCCACAGCCTGGTGTGGCCTAGCTAAGGTCTTATCCGATTCCATTGAAGTTCATCATTAGAAAGTTCTAAAAAATTTATTCTCGAAGAAACCTTCCTTTCCCTCCAATGAGTTGTACTTATTAGCTCAGACTACTCCGTTAGAGCAACGCCAACTAACTTGCCTCTGTATATTGGTTCATCGAATGCTCTTGGGTTGTGTTCCTGAACATATAAAGCCTTATAACTGGTTTGTTTCGGGCCACTCAACCAGAAGCGAAGTGTCTCTTCCCAAGGCCAAGTCAACGCAATTCACAAGATCGCCATTCTTCCAGGGCTACTGTGCGTGGCTACAACTTCCCGACTCAGTGAAGACTTCTGCATCATTGAAAGAATTTAAAGTGAATCTGAGGGCCTGCTGATGACTGCGTGCACCATAATAAAAAAAACTAATCAATATAGCATTTTGGCTGTTTCCTTTTCATGTATATAATCTTCTCCTTCTTTTACCATGGTTGGCTATCACCCACATCTTCCCGTTTTGGCTGCCATCGGAAGCCATAAGATGTTGAATAAATATATAAAATAAATAAATGAAAAATAATAGGCAATGCACATGTACCAGGTGGTTGAAAATTATAAGCCCAGTCTCTTGTAGAAGCCCAGTCTCTAATATAAGCCCGGGGTCCGGACTGCTTGAAAAGGGGTGCCATATCCGTTTCGTGTGCTCCGGTCCCAACCGCCATGAATTTAGTCTTCATTGCATTGATCCTGAGCCTGAATGAGGTGGCAACATCAACGAACAGCTGGAGAGCCGATTTGGAGCCATTCCAGATTTTGGCAAGGAGGGCACCATCATTGGCAAACTGAAATTCTGCTGCACATGTGGAGCTGGCTGCGTTAAGTCTTGCATTAAAGAGTTGATCACTGCCGTGACTCATAACGTCGATGCCGACTTCCGAATTGGTCAAAGTAACATTCTGCCACTGGTCCACGACTGCGCACATGTAAATGTTGAACAACACCGGTGCCATTGTGCAGCCTTGCCGTAGACCATTTTCCACAGCGAAGTCATCAAGGAGCTGATCGCCAATTCGCAGCTGGGCCACCATTCCAGTGTGGAAGGTTTCGATCAAGGAGACCATCTGAGCAGGCACTCCCAAAGGGTGCAGAGCAATCCAAAGACCAGCACGAGGCAGAGAATCGTATGCCTTGCGTAGATCAATGTAGAGAGCAAAACATTGGCTTGATGTTCACGGAGTTTTTCGATGACTTGCCGCAGTGAGAAAACCATGTCCACAGTGCCTCTCCCAGGACAGAATCCGCATTGGGAATCTGGAAGAAGGGATTCTGCAAACTTCTGCAACCTGTTAGCAATAAGCCGTGACATTACTTTGCAAACAACGTCGAGGAATGATATCCACGCCAGTTACTGAGTATTGCATAACGTCAAATTGCCCTTCTTGGGAATCGAAACCAAAAAGGCATCCTTCCACTACTGTGGAACTTCACCCGCCTGAAAGCAGTCTACCGCAAGCTCATGTAGCTTGGAGATGAGCATCGGGCCACCATATTTCAATAGTTCGGGCAAAATACCAGAGTATCCAGGTGCCTTCCTGTCCCAAGGGCCTTGCAAACTTCCTTAATTGTTGGTGGCATCGCGAGTTCTGCATCGGCATTTTGTTGGGGGAAGCTGGTAAGCGCATCATTGTCAACATCACTAATGACGTTTAGCATACTTCCTCCGCGTCATCGAAATTGTCGCAGTTTGACTTTTGACATAAAACGGGGTATTTACTCACCAGCACTCGTACCAGAGGCAAGGAATCGGACATAGGCGATAGTCATCAGTATAGGGTGACGGCAAAGTTCTATTTTCTGTTATTGGAATCTGAAATTTTTGAACTAGACGCAATTTCTTCGCTGATGTCGCTGCGATGGCAATTTCAACTCGCTGAGATCAGTCAGGCGTTGCAGCCTGCACATTTCTCGTGCTTATGGCCATTCACTCGAGCCTCATCAATCTTTTTCCTTAGCAGGGGTGAGAATGACTTCGTGGAACAAGTAGCAGCGCTCGGAGAAACATTGAGGGGTCAGCAAACTAAATGCATGCAACGGCGATAAAATTTGTTGCTCTTGCTGAGACACTCAGTACATGATTTTACCTGCAAGAGCCGTGTACTACGGTGTAGACTCTACACGAAGTGCTAGTGATGCACGCGCAGGTGCCGTACCAGTGATGCTGAAAAAGAGGGCGCGCTGGATGATAGTACACTTACCTGCATGAGCTGTGACCACACAGCTAAAATAATGGCATGCCACGGCTAAAAAAAGTTCATTTCAAGATCGAGGTGGTTCCGCCGACGGTAATCAACCGACCTCGCAACGATTGTTTATTCTTACTAGGCTTCGTTGGTGGTGAAGTAGAAATTATCCAGAGCTAGCAGATGACAAACATAGCAGCTCTTGTCCTGTGGAGAAAGTCAAAGCGTCTGAGATGAGGCGCGACCAACTTTCAACCTTCCTTGAAATATTTCGGAACGATATTTTTGCGTCCATTGACATCAGCGACGACGAGGACTTCATCTCTGCATGAAAACTCTCAGTCCAACTGTCCTGGAACGTTACTCTAGTCTTCAGACTATCATACTGTGTAATATGTTTTGAATGGTTTAGCTTATGGAGTTGTCAGTAACAAGTGGCAAGTCACTAGTCAAACTGCGACAATTTCGATGACGCGGAGGAAGTAGTCTGAAAATGCTCACCCCACCGCTCATGGGTCTCTGCGATAGTGACACACTCGTCACCATTGGCTTTCTTGATTCGAGTTGAGACAGTTGGTATTAGTCCCTAAGTGGCATGACGTATGTTGTGAATGCACTCCCACGCACCACGTTCACCATGACACTAGCACATAGCCGCTTCAGCATTGAGTTCAAGGAATCTGCGCTTGGCCTGTCGAACAACTGCACAAGATTCACTGTCCGGTCAGAGTCGCGCTTTGATGGCTGCCACTTCTTATACAATGCATCACGTTTGCAAAGAAGAGGCTCGATGTCTCCTTTCGCCAGTTCAACCCAGTCTTTCCTTGCACGGCGCACGGCTCCAAGGCAATCGCCCGCAATGTCTAATGACTTTAGCTGCGTCCACTTCTCCTCTCCAGCCTGTCATCCAAAGCATCGCTTAGCTGCTATCGGGCTTGGGCAGTGGTTTCACGGGCACCATCAGCACAGGGGCGTAGAGATGTTACATCAAGCATACATCAAGGAGCACGCGCTTTGGAGCAGTTCTTGGAAACCGGACAACGCATTTTAGACGATACTTCATAGACAACAACGAATGGTTCGTATCACACTCTGCACTGGTGATGACACCGCAGTCGATGCAGTTGGCGCAGTGGTGAGCAGGCACTATGCAATAATCAATGCAGTGACGTGCCTTTGTGCCGGGATGCTGCCAGGTGTACTTAGCGCAGCGGGCTTTCTGGAACCAGGTGTTGCAAGCCAAACATTCATTTCTAGCAAGAAATGACAGCAGCTCCTCTCCAGAGGAATTGAGCTGGCCGACCCCATGAGGACCACGAACATTCCACCACAGGTCTTGTGAGGCACCAGTGCCGATACGAGAATTGAAGTCACCGACTAGTACAAACTGATGCGAGTCTGGCACGTGAGAAATAAATTCCTGCAACTGATCATAAAACTTATTCTTCTCAGCACGGGGTCTTGAGAACGTAGGTGCATACGCGGATGCAACATGCAGCCACTGAACACGCTTGCCACAAACAAACGCCAAACGAGCTACAATGAGTCTGGATCCAAGCGCTGTCCACTAGCAGCCACCAGCCTCGAACGCACGACGACACAATCCACGGAGCACCAGAGCAACACCTTCGCCGCGAGTGCGACTTTCGTTCTGCGATGCAAAGGAACGACCTGACGACAGTACAAGGCTCTCGTCCACTCGATACTGCTCTGAACCAAACCACAGTGTCTCCTGTAATCCAGCTACCTGGATGTTGAATCTCCTCAGCTGTCGAACAACAAAAAATTTGAATTTTTTTCAAACTTGTCAGCTCCTCTCCTTCCTTCTCAACGAGGGTTCTGACATTCCACGACGCAATAGAGAACACAGTACCACGACCTGCTGGTGCGTTGGCCTTCCTAGGTGGGTGTTCTGGACGAGGGAACGCAACTCCTCTACATCCAGGTGAGCCGGGAGAAAGTCGATTGTTCGCATCGGGCGTGAACCTGTGATAGATTTTTCTCTGAACCCCGGACTCACGACGACAGCTGGGCGTCATCTTTCCTAGGGGACATATTATGTACGTCTACAACTAAGCCAGGGCTGACTCTGCACACGCAGAGCCAGGCCGTGGCACAAAAAAAGTTTACTACGAAGGAAGCTCCGAAAAGTGTTTCCTTCCCTGAAACTCACACATACATACAGTGCTGGCAACTGAAATCCGACCCCCTTTCCGGCTCGGCGCGTCACCCAGGGGGTCGGATTTCAGTTGCCAGCACAGTACATACATACATACATACATTTTTTGCGGGGTAACTGCCTCTTTTACGGGCAAGATAAAGTCATGTAGACGTGAAAAAAATACATACATACTTACGTACGTACGTACATACATACATACATACTCAATCTGCGGACAGAACTGTTTCGTCACATACATACATACATACATAGTAATCAAGTGGTGTGCTTCACTGTCCGAAGAGTGCTCAATACCCATGTAGGGCAGAGCCTTGTACACAAGAGAGATTGGAAGCTGTGTCGCAACTCTGAGTAATACGTGAAACTCAGAGTCGCGACCCAGCTTCCGACTTTGCTTCTGTACATACATAGTACGTACATTTTCTCTGTGCTGCGCTGATGAGTCAAAGGACGAAACAGTACATGTGCTTCCTCTGTAAACAAAAACTTCTTCATGGATTTTCATGGATAAGAAAACACTTAGAACAGATCAAGAAGAGTTTGTATCGACTGGACGAAGGTAGTAAAATCCTATGCATGGTGTCTCTACAAAGAGACACTGTTGGAGTTCATTCTGCGTCACTTTCGCTCAACTCATTTTACCCTGCGTTGCTGTCGTCATCTGCTGCACTTAAGTCTTCATCTCTCCTCAACCAGAGTGCAGAAATGCATACAAGTGCAGTGTGTACGAGAGAGTGCATAGAGAGGCAAAGTCGTCGTTATTGACACATAGGGCTGATGGTGTAAAATACATTTGAGGTGAAGCGGGAAAAAGGTTTTGAAGGAGAGGTGCCATTCAAGTAGCCGTGATTGAAGGCATTTCCCGAGTGAGAGAATGCAGATATTGCTGAGGGCAGGAAGGTCACTAATTCACACCAGTAAAGCATGAGACAAAATTGATGCCAATTCAATTTTTTGTTTCAAAGGTTGGCTGCCCCTTAGTTAAAAATAATATTTTAATATTATTTCAACAACACAAAACACTCTGCCTCTCTGGGATTAAAAATAACATTATAGTAGAATAGTAGAACACTCACGACTGCAGGTATAGTTACGCCCGAGACCGGTACATTTATATCCAAGAGTGCAAGGCATCTTGGGTAATGCATCGCAACTACTGTTGCACTGATCTACGGTCATTTCTAAGAAAGTCAAAACAAAACACAGAGAGCCAGTCACTAGCTAATAGTGAAATCAGAAATGGTGATGAAGGTGCATGAAGTAGCAACCAGCAAGTAATAATTTTTGCATGCATATTAGATACAAAGGAAATCCTATTCCTGTCAGGTTATGCAGTGTTCATGTACCACCAACACCCTCCCCCCCCCCCCCCCTTCACCCCCTCACAACACCCCCTCGCAACACCCCCCCCCCTCCCCTCCCGCACTGACTCGTGCTCTCGAGTTCTTGTCCGACCAGTTCCAGGATGGTCGCGCATTCCGCATTATTTCTGGCTACCTGTCCGCTCTTTACCATGGTCCCTCCCGTCGACGGCGCATCAATTGCCTCTCACCCTACTGTTGTTCAGCCGCTCCATGGTGCGTACAATCTCCACACGCTTACGCCTCGCTACACCTTCACATGGGATGTTGAGCTGGTGTTGGATATATTGCGGTCATGGTCAGATGTGTCTGATCTCAGAGACAAGCAGCTTACTCTGCGCCTTACAATTCTCCTGGCGCTTTCTGGCACATATCACCGTGGCGAGCTTTGTCTGCTCTCTCGTGTCTTTGCCCGGCTCTCCGATGGCTCTGTCCGGCTCCTGCTACTTGGTACTCGCAAGACCCAGCGTGTTGGTGAGCCTCTGCAGACAGTCCAAGTATGCCCATTCTCTGTTGCTGCCCTGTGTCCTGTTCAGCATCTGCTTGAGTGTGGCCGTTGATCCGCTGTGTGGCAGCTAGATGGCTTCTGTCTGTTATGTTATGACGTAATGCCGTACAACTTTAGCTCTACTGTGTATGCACGCACGCATATCTTTGAAGGTCTTCTCTGTCGTTTTCAGATTGAATCTAAACAGTTTTCTACTTCGTATATTCTAACCAATAAACTACTTGTCTCTTGTCTACCGAACCTAACATGGCGCAGTGAACTACTAGTAACCTGAGTACGGAATATTTGACAGCCTGTAGTTGTCCGTGAATTCTGTAGCCTTTTATTTTCAAACGATCGATCGTGTAGCATAAGTGTCTTGTAGTTGTAGAATTTGTATAATTGTCGTGATTGCGGAACCTGGAATTTCCCCAATCAGTGCTGAAATCGTATCCCTGCTCGCCTTGATGCAGCAGCAGATGAAAGCGGCTGAGGCACGCGAGACTCGCCTCACCACACTGGTCGAAAACGCAACGCGCGACAACCAGGCACCACCCAGCACTTCGACATCCTGCAGTCAGAAGCCGATTTCTGTCGAGCGACCGGTGTTGCTCAGCACTGCAACCATGGCCGATTTCACGGCATGTGAGGAGGTTTGGAGAGATTATGCTGTGTGCCAGCACCTCGCCAAACAAAGTCGTGAGACTCGGGTGTCCGCTCTTCGCCAGGCGTTCGATGCCGACATTCGTCGTTTCATGCGCGAAGATGTGATTGTCATCTCCCACAGTGCCGATGCTTCGGAGATCATCATAGCAGTAAAAGCGTACATCCGACGCCAACGGAACCCCCTCCTAGATCGAATTGCGTTTTACAATAGAAAGCAGCAGCGCAATGAGTCATTTGATTCCTTCTTTACTGCAATGAGGGAGCTGTTTGCACAGTGCGATTTCCCTGACATGGAGCTGTGCAGCACATGTACACCTCAGCTATGCAGTACTTGTCCCCAGAGCCTCCGCAAGGTGACGGACGACATGATGCGAGACCGCATCGTAGTTGGCATAGCCAACGACGACACGCGCCATAAGCTCCTGGCAGCTCCGTCCCTCACCCTGGAAACCGCGGCCAAGATCTGCAGGGCTGAAGAAGCTGCACAACATCCCGGTGACGGCATGGTACTGGCATCCGTGAATGCCGCAACAAGGTCATCGTATCAACGCAGCAAATCCGCTTGGTTAGTAAGCCGAAATCTGCTGCAGCTGACAAGCCGGCTAAGTGCTCGCAGTGCGGACGATCCCAGCACACGAAGTCAATGTGTCCTGCCAAGGGCAAAGAGTGCCGTAAGTGCAAGGGCAGGGACCACTTCACGGCAATGTGCCGCAAGACCATTGAATGCCTCACCATTCTAGCAGTGCAGGCTGGTGACAAAGTGATGCTGTCAACACGTCTTGACGACAACGACCGGTCGTGCACGTTAGAGTGGTTGCCAGACACTGGCTCGGATGTTGATGCTATTGGTGCTAGTCATCTCCGCAGACTTGGTGGCAGTGTAGCTGATCTGGAACCTGACCCCGACCATGTTGTCGCCGTGAACGGTCAGCCATTGACCAGCTTGGGAACTGTTCCCGCCAGGGTTGTCGCTCGTGATGTCACGCACACCACTCGTCTACATGTGTACGACGAACTCAGTAGCGCATTGCTGTCGCGCTCATCGCTCAAGGCGTTAGGTTTCTTGCCGCCTAACTGGCCACAGATCGCTTCAGTGACACAAGGGACATCCCGTTCCGCAGAGCACAGCAACCCTACACCAGACCAGCGTGTACGTATCCGCCAGGACCTCCTCGACGAGTTCGCTGACGTATTTGCAGAGGACACGCTCCGACCCATGGACGGTCAGCCGATGCACAACCAACACGCGCCTGACGCCCAGCCGTTCAAGTTGAACAATGCCCGTTGGTTACCTTACGCCCATCGTGACCAGGTGAAACTCCAGCTGGACAAGATGGTCGCAGATGGCATCATCGCACCGGTCTCAGAGCCAACGGAGTGGTGTCACCCCATCGTCATAGCCGAAAAGAAAGGCACTGGAGAAGTCCGGATGACGGTGGATTTCACTAAGCTTAACAAGCAAGTCGCCCGGCCCGCGCATCCCATGCGCGCACCTCGCGATGTTGTTTCTAACCTTGGTAACGCCCAGTATTTTACCAAGCTGGATGCTCGCCACGGCTACTGGCAGGTCCCCTTGGACGAGGAGTCCAGAAGCTTGACCACATTCATCACACAGTGGGGCAGATATCAGTACCTGCGGAACCCACAAGGTCTGATTTCTGCTGGCGACGAATTCAACCAGCGGACCGATGCAGCATTCGCTGGTATTGAGCAATTCTCCAAGGTCGTGGATGACTGCCTGGTCTTCACTGATTCCTTTGAGCAGCACCTGGAACGAACTCGTGAAGTTCTTCAACGCGCTCGTCGGTATGGTATCACCCTGTCAGCCAAGAAGTTTGCTTTCGCCGAGACCGAGATCAATTTCTGCGGCTACGTGATAAACAAGTCCGGCTGGAAGACAGACCAGGACAAGACCCGCGCTATCACCGACTTCGAGATCCCTGCCAATCGCACTGACTTGCGATCATTCATGGGTCTCGTCAACCAGTGCAGTGATTTCAGCTCAACCATCGCCGAACACGCAGCGCCTCTCCGCGGTCTGCTGAAAGCCAAGAATGAGTTCCTCTGGCTGCCCGAGCACACAGTCGCTATGGACGCTGTGAAGCAAGCACTTGTTGACCCACCGTTATTGGCCTTCTTCGACCCGTCAGCACAGACACGTTTCGAGTGTGACGCCGCTAGGACCAAGGGTCTCGGATTTGGCCTCTGGCAGTACCAGAATAATTCGTGGCGCCTCATTCAGTGCGGCAGCAGATTCATCACCGACACCGAATCCCGGTACGCAATGATCGAACTGGAGATGTTGGGTGTCGCCTGGGCCATCCGAAAATGCCACACCTATCTTGCTGGCATGTCGTTTCATGTAGTTGTTGACCATCAGCCCCTTGTTCCAATATTGAACACCTACACACTGGACCAGGTTGAGAATCCTCGGCTCCAACGTCTGATGACCAAGGTACAACTCTATCAATTCGACGTCTCGTGGCGCAAGGGCTCTGAGCATGCCTTTGCTGACGCCTTGTCGCGTGCTCCAGTGCAGAACCCGGTTGCCGATGATCTCCTGGGAGAAGCCGACTCGCTATCTGGACAAGCCATCCGTGCATGCCTTCAGCAGGATGACTCCGGATCAGCACTATTTGGTCTTCCGTTCCACGAGCTCCGCGATGCCGCTCAGTCTGACGTTGATTACGTGCAGTTAGTCTCATATATTCGTGACGGCTTCCCTTCTGCCAGACGTCACATGCCACCTGCTCTCGCTCCGTATTGGAATGGCCGTGAGCACCTCACCCTGGATAACGGCATCGTTCTCCGTGGCTCTCGTCTTGTTGTGCCCAAGTCTCTACAATGCCGTGTACTGACTGACCTGCATTCGTCTCACCAGGGCCTGGAACGTACCAAGCATCGTGCGCGTCAAGTGGTTTGCTGGCCGAGGATGAGTGATGACATCACAGCCCTGATCCGTGCCTGCCCTGTCTGTCGTGAGCTCCAACGTTCGCAGCAGAAGGAGCCATTGATGCGCGAGCCACAGCCGACATTTCCATTCGAGTATGCCAGCTCAGATCTCTTCTCCTGTCAAGGCTGGCAGTTCCTGGTATATTCTGACCGTCTGTCCGGCTGGCCGTGTGTAGCTCGAATTGGCCGTACCGCTACCTCCCATGACATCATTTGTCACTTCCGCCGTTGGTTCGCAGATGTTGGCGTACCGCGCAAGATATTCACTGATGGAGGCCCGCAGTTTGCCGCTTCCCGTGTACGTGAGTTCTGTGAGCGTTGGGGTGTGGAACAGTGCTTTTCCACCCCACACTACCCTCAATCCAATGGCCATGCGGAATCAGCAGTGAAAGCAGTGAAACTGCTCATTGAGAAGACCACCCGGAATGGAGATCTGGATGTAGACTCCTTCCAACGCGGCCTGTTGGAGTGGCGCAATACTCCCCGCCCTAATGGCAGCAGCCCCGCCCAAGTGGTGTTCCGTCAGTCCCTCCAGTCGTTTGTGTTCGCCCACCGTGCCAGCTTTGATCGACACTGGATTGCGTCTGCTGAAGCTGTGGACTCTGTAGATCCGAAAACACATTATGACAAATCGGCACGCTCTCTCCATTCTCTACGGATTGGCACCCACGTTGATGTTCAGCACCACCAGACCAAGCTGTGGTCCATGCGTGGC